CCTTACTCTGTCCATTCGGCAGCAATCTCGCTCTGAGGTATTTGAAACTGTCTACTACTTCAAGCTGACAGCCAATCATCTTAAGCGGCGCCTTCTCTTGGACAGGGATGCAGCATGAAAACACTTTGCTCTTCGCAGCGTTTATGGAAAAACCGACTGATTTCACGACCTCGTTCACCTGTGACAACATAGACTTGTAAATCGCCAAAGCTTGGAACTAGTAAAGTGGTACCATCGGCATAGTCGAGGTCAGTCAATCAGCGCCCGAATGCAAGCTCGCGCGCAAATGGGGACTTTGTTCGCATGCAGTGGCCGAGACAGTGCAGCAGGCTGGTCGGACCTTCAACCGCGCTGCGTGGGCTTGGACACATTATCTCATTGGAGTGTTTGATGTCCATCATAGTCTCTCAGCTCCTAGCGTGTGTGCAGCATATTCGGTGGGATTTTGCTTTGTAAATGTAGCGCTTTCGAATACCATGCTTTTTTACAGATAGCATTTACCGTCTTGCAATGCCCTGATCCAATCACATTTCAGGCGAGCGCAACGGATGCGGTTTCAGACGAGAACTTGGCCTTCCTACTCTCCTGTTTATCTGACTACCCCTCTCCTGACCCCACTGGAAGGACCTACCACGCCGGTCTCTTGCCCCAAGGCGATATTCTCTTGGACGATAGGGATAAACTAAGCATTGGTCGAAAGCTGCTCGATCTGCGTCGTCTCGGCGTTCCATGGGTTGTTGTGGCCAAGGTCAGTTGATATCCCACTTCCCCTCGGACGACTGTTTTGTGCTTGTATTCAGATATGATCCGCTTCACTAGGCATATCCCGGTTTGCTTGGCGTCTTAAAGTAGACTAACTCTTTACTTCTGATCTCAGGAATCCAAACAGACGGTCAGATTCTAGGTCTCAAAGTGAACACGAGAAATCGAGACACTTTGCTCTTTCGAACCGATGGGCATAAACACAGTCTAGATAATTTAAGAACTGCGACCGGCTCAACGGAACATATCTATTTAACTGCTGACGTTTCGGAGGGCTTGGTCGGAACACCCTTGTCACGAGTCACTTAATGCACTACATCGAAGAGAAAAAGAATTGGTGTGCTGTGAGCTGCTTGTCGTCCTCGAGCTGATCGATTTTTTGCTCGCTGCTTCAGTGCTTTTGTGGATGTTTGACAGGCAGTTTAGTTGCGCGCGTTATGAGTCACCACCTCGATGGGGGGCGGGAGGGGCGGTAATTTTCGTTCTGGTGGTTAATTTTCTTCACTGCAAGTTTGTTTTCGAGTTGTGTCTGTGCGGCTTTATTAAGCTCTCTGTCGCCATCTTGTCCCGAGCTTTGTGTACACAATGACGCAGGACTGTAGGGTATTCAAGATGCCTATTGATGTAGTTTAAATCTGGGGGCAGAATCCTACTTTGGGTCCTGGCTCAGCATGCGAAAGCCCCGTCCTTCTGTAATACAGGCCCGGGTGTAATAAAGAGTTTCCAGTCCGGGCTAAAAAGGAAAGGAAATACGAAAAAAGTTTATAAAAATAGAAAAAACAGGAGTACTTATTTAAATAATCTAACGTTTGTCAACAAAAGGGCGCGCCATAATTAAAATGTGCAATTATGCAAATATTGGGAAATAACTAAATTAAAAAATACCTAACTAAAACCCAATAAATTATATTAGTAAAAAATGTCCAAATTTGTTACACCTAATAAACTATAAGTAATAAATGTAAGTAAATTTCTGTGTTAAGTTATGGCGCGCTATTCTGTTCCCAAATCATTAGATTATTTAAACAATTCCTGGGACTCAAAGGAGGACTCCACCCTCCCGGAAAATCGAAAGTGAAGCCAGTTTCTCCAGCGTGTTTTGCAAATTGGAAGTTCGGGCCTACCCTGTGGGACGCCAATTCGTGCTCCTGTAGGTGGATCTGTAACTTCCGCCTGGTTTCCCCAACGTACTTACAGCTCCAGTCGTTGCAGCTTGTTTTTTAGACAACTGGCTGCGTGCCCTGCGGTTGCATCGAACGGTGAGTGATTGTGGTCTACGCTTAAGAGTTGATTTAACGCTTTGACCGCGGTCAGCCGACCAAGCTCCCCCGGAACCAGTCGGGTGTTTGACTGGCTGAAGATGGCCTAAAGTGGTCTAACCCAGCGATACTCGCCTTTACCCCCACCCCCTCCCCTCTGTTTTTGTTGATCGTCCTCTGAGGTCCTACCTGGTTGCTCAGTTTGGCAGGACTGTCTGTGAGGCCGCCTGAACATAAATTCGCCGCGTCCAACTATCCTACTGAAATGGGGATTAAAGATTAAATACTCCCGAATGAATGAAAAGGTTCACGTTCCAGGTATCTGCATGGATAAGGAAGAAGACGTGTCAAGCACCGGATCAAGTGATTTATTGTCCTGAGCTTTCGGACTCTTACAGGAGTCCATCTTCAGAGATGAAAAGTAGCAATACTGGATTAAGTAGTGTTAATGCGTGTTTAATTGCGTGGAAAGTGAACAAAGAGAAATAACTTAGAGCCACTTATAATTGTTTTATGAGCTAAATATAAGTAAATTGACCAACATAAATTCCTGCTGCATAGGTAACTGTTGCCCGTTGACCAATAAGAATAGAAGACAATTCCTCTTAGTTGGATAGGCGGAAATTCGACCTAAGGCTGGCGGAATTTAACGAAATTTGAGAAGACGACTCGATCGCTGGGACAATACTTTATTCGCCTGACGTTTCCACACCCGTCGCGGATTCATCATCAGAGACATTAGCAGAAACAGACCCGTTTCTGTTTCTGTTTTCTGCTAATGTCTCTGTTGATGAATCCGCGACGGATATCGAAACGTCAGGCGAATAAAGTATTGTTCCAGCGATCGAGTCGTCTTCTTCTCAATTACTTTCTGGAACTCGCATGTTCGCTTGTATTGACAATTTAACGGAATTTATTTTCAAATGGCCTCACGAGACATTCCTGCCCCCATTTTTACTTAACTCTCGTACCCGTGCCCTAAATCTGGCAAGCAAAAGCCACCTTGTAGTTGCGCCCTTCCCTGCCCGATCGTATGTAAATATTTCAGCAGTATACATTTAAGTTTATCGTTTGGTTTAACCATTGATATGTGACACGCGTGACGGTACTGCAAACTGCTACCGCAACAGTGCTACCTCTGGCCAGGCCTATGAACCTATCAAGCAGACAGCCAACTTCATCTGCACCCGCTGACAGGCTTCAGGAACCCACTGGTGAGCCGAACCCCTCGCAGCTGTGTCAAGCAGCGGCACAATACCGTCCAAAGACGCGTTTCTGAGCTTGTGGCTAATATCTATCGCAGAGGGGTTAAGTAAATTAAACCCTGGCAGCTGCGATATTCGGGCCCGGTTCCTTAAGAAAAGAGAAGTCATGGGAGGGGGGGGCAGAATGGTAGGAAGAATTTATTCTGTACAGAAGGAGTGGGAGAAAAGACAGTAGGAAGTTGACTGTCAGACGACCACACAACTGCAAGCCAGCGAACGGCGCCTGAAATGATGTCTGCTCGGCAGTCGTCACATGAGGTCCTCTGTGAGTCAGCCTGTGATTGGCTGTTCCAAAGGCCGGAAGTAGCAGGCGCTCACATGTGCACTTCGACTTGAGCTAGTCACGACAAGCGTTCACAAGTGTACTCAGTGTGCAGCTACTCACTACATATCTATGCTGTCGGTTTGGTCAATAATCACGTAGGTTCTACTACTCACTGCCGATGACGGCCTGTGAATATTCCGTAGTTATCCCGCAGTGCGGCTGATGGACTTCGGCCCGAATATTCCTATCAAATTCCGGTCTACACCTGTATACCCTCGAATACACTGATCTACAGGGAAATTAAAAAGCGGGGGTTTACTTCTCCTTGTCCTCGTTGATGAACTTTCACCCGATTGCAAACGGAACTCATCTGTCCCGCTCTATCTTGGAACTCGACAGAGGCCCTAACAGCTGTAGCAGCTGTAGCATGTGGATAATATTG